GTTTATGATATATGCAAATAACTCTGGTTTCATAGAAATACTTCCATGAACATTCAAAGGAATGCACCTTTGAACAATTCTAGGCAAAGCAAACGCGGGAAACGTATCTTAGATGTCTATTTTTCAAACAGAAGTCCTGGAGACATGCTGAGACTCTACAGAAAAACGGAGAACATATGAGCCACAGCTGCAGTACTAACTGATGTTCCATTTTAACCCCCCACGTAAACTGAAGTAGCGCAGTGCTCTCCGTTCAGCCATTGCGAGTTGTCTCCAGAATACGGCCTTTGAAGCAGAGCAGCTTCAGGAGTCTGGCTTCCTGTCACCTGGAAACAATACCCTTAGGAGATGATGGTAAATGATAGCAGCTACCTGGGTACATAAACTGAAGTCAGTGAGCAGAGTGGCTCCCAGCTGTGGGCCAGGGCTGGGAAGCTGCCATTCAGTATAGCAGTAAAGGCTGCTTTTCTTCTGCCTGACTCCTACTGTGTCAGCCAAAGGAAGGGTGCTTTAGGATTCACTGGACCTTATGCTTGGCATGGTTCCAAATAACCTGCCCCTTCCACTGAGTTGTGTTCTTCCAGCAAAAAGTCCTCTGGTTAGGACACGCTTCTATTCTACAACACTAGCACCTGGGGAAAGGCGCAGGCTGAGTCAATGGTTCTGAGCCGGGATTACCGCCTGTATTAGCGAGCGTTCCGGTATACACTGTGCTCCGGCATATATCGTGCTGGTACCTTCTGTGCCGTCTGGCTCTGCCTGCTCCTCACGCTGCTTCTGCTTGAACTTCAGGTTCCCGTAGTGCATGACAGCCCCTGTCAGCTTGTAAATGGCTGTCTTCTCCTCAGGAGTGAAGCCCAGGATGTCAATGGCACTCTAACAAAAGAAGCATTAGAGTAAGCACCATGCCTGTTAAAGGTCAGAGTCTGCCTAAGGAAACTTCTGTGCGTTACTTACGTCCGTGGCCATCAGCTCTTCCTGGTCGTTAATGCTGGGAACTGTGATCTCACCTTGACTCACATACTGATAGTCATACGGGTTGGTGGTGATCAGTAACATCTCTGAAAAGAAGGACGAAACGCATACAGATCAAATGCAATTGGCACGTAAAGGAATTAAGTGTTGTTTGCGACCTTTGTCTGGAGAAGTTAGTGATCTTTCCTACCAATCAGCTCTGGCTTCTTGTTGGACATGATCTGATAAAATATGTGGTAGCTTCTTTCTGCCTTGAGCTGGAAAGTGACTCTGGACTTCTCCAGCAGATCTGGCAAGGATGGTGGGACACAATTAGCACAAGCACTGAGGAAGTCTGGAGCGAAAGGGATCAGGCCAGGAGGGCCACTTACATGTTTCAATGTCAGCAGAAGCCAGTTTTCCCGTGGCACCAAAGTGGATTCTGATGAATTTACCCTGAAAGAAACGGAAAAGTTAATCGAGATCTATTTTACCAATCCTGACTGCAGGACTATTCGAGTCAGTGTGCTGACAGGAAAAAAGTAATTTCGTCCCAGGCAACAACTTACAAAGCGTGAGGAGTTGTCGTTCCTCACCGTCTTGGCATTACCAAAGGCCTCCAGCAGTGGGTTGGCACTGATGATTTGATCCTCAAGTGTCCCCTAAGATGGAAATCTTATTGTCACGATACAGCTCATAAACAAATGAGACAGCTGCACATTCCTACCTACCCCTAAGAGCTCACCTGCATTTTGCCTGCCGGCTGCTGCTCTTCCTTCTTCTTCTCCCCACTCGCTGCAATTGTTGCAAAGTACTGGATGACACGCTTTGTGTTCACAGTCTTCCCTGCACCGGATTCTCCGCTGTCAAACCAAAGAGAGAGGCAGAGAGCGTGTGGTCAGGCAGGAGGTCCCCTGGCACCGGGCAGCCCCGCAGGGACCCGAGCAGGGAGTGTACATACGTGATGAGGATCGACTGGTTCTCGCGATCTGTGAAAGGGGCAGAATGAAAGGTAGTGTTAGCAGTTGTCCGGAGTAACGCTAAGCTGAATGAGAAGTAAAGCTGTAAATGGACGTTGGGGCTTCTCCCAAGTCCAAGAGCAGTAGTCCAAGTAGTCCAAGACTACCCGATTCCCTTCCAGGTCCCAACAGTGGAAAGTACAAGCCAAACCAGATGCATAGAGCTGTCAGAGGCACATGGTCTGCACACAAGCTGCGCACCCACTTGCCCTTCACACAGTTCTCATCAAGAAATCTAATCAAACTGCCTATCTGTCTTCAAAGCAGAGGATTAGGTGGAATAATAATTTTTTCTGTCCCATCAGTGGAAAAGAGTAGCAAACTCAAGGAGTATTGCTGTAGTGCGAGACTGTAGAATTTCGTACAATAGAGTGCAAATAAAGCACCGTGCTGAGTCCATGCATGCTTCTGGGGCAGTTTCACTTGAAATGAATTCCTGCGTAACTCCATCAAGCTCTCAGTCATACAGCTCCGTGGTGTTTCAGCTGGCTTGTCACATGCTCCACTGAGATCAGCAGGGCTTTTTGGTTTAGATTGCTGTGAGGAGGGTCAAGCACTCACCCGTCAGCATGAACTGATAGGCGTTGTCAGAGATGGAGAAGATGTGTGGAGGGGCCTCCTGGCGCTTCTTGCCTCGGTAGGCCAACACCACCTCCGGGTTGTACACCGGCAGCCACTTGTAGGGGTTGACAGTGACGCAGAAGAGACCCGAGTAAGTCTGTAAGGAAGGGGGACAGGGTGCTGATTTTGGAGAGCTGAGGAGAGCTGCAGATAAGGCAGAGGTGAATGATGTTCGGGGGACACCAGGGTAGTGAGAGAAAATAAAGTGGAGGAACCTATCAGAGAATGGGTGAGATATAGCATACGACAAGGAAAGGTAAAAGCGGGAAGGAAGAAGGAGAAGATGTAGACAGCAAGAGGAAAACACATGTAAGAAAGAAAGAGGAAATAGAAAATGAGGAAAGAAGTCACGAGGCTCTTCAGAGAGCTTGAAAGGTGTCTTCAACTCCTCAAAAGCAGGAATCGTCTCCTTCTGCTGGTACTTACATAGATCATCCAGGCTGCATAACGCTCTTTGAGG